CAAACTCATAGACAGGGAAGCACGGCGAAGTTTTTCAGGTTTAGTAATAAAAAATAAATAAAAAATAAAAAATCAGACATACTTGGCTATCCACAATTATACTGACCACTCTCCCTCGAAGATCATAGGCATCTATAGCACAAGGCACACCATTTGTTCCCGGATATCGTGCTTTCTCGGAATGGAACCTAAAATAACAAAAAAAAAAAACATGAAATATTCCAAATGTTCCCCTTTACTTCTAGCTGCGTATTAAACTTTGCTAAAAATTATAAAACAAAGGCTTAAATTAGGATTTGAAAAATAAGAAGACGAAAGATTAAGGCAAATTTTTAAAGAAAACTTGAATTAATATTTAGAATTTAGTTCCAATTAAACAGACAATCGTTAAAGTGCCTTGAAATTCTAAACTGAGACAAAAACGGACAAGTTTTCATTAAAACAACTGTTCTAAGAGATGCGTGCTAATCTGTGCTCAAACTGTTTGTAGAAAGATTTATGGGATCTGAAACATTTCAGTCCATCGTAGTTAATACTTATGATTATCACCAAAGTCCTAGGTCATTCGCCCAAAAACTTAGAACAGGAGTAAAACCCGCAAAATTAATACTGGAATTTTTTCCATTTTTTTATTATAACATGGAAAAAACTAAAAAAAAAACGCAGCACAGCGTATGGATTGTCCTCTGCTGCCTCCAATTTTCAGCCTAATCATAATGTTGTGGTCCAAAAACATAAATATTAATCCGCCTGCGCTAACAGCCAAAATTATCACGGATTAACGGGTGATGTAAAGCTCCAGCGTTAAAATGTGGTACGCCTGCGTTCCCAGTGTGCTACGTAGAATTCTGTTTCCGGGTATATTTTGGCTACAATCTACACCTTCTACCCTTTACGAAGCCATACAACACTCTTCGCAGAATGCCCCAGTATTTGTATTTAATTCACAATCGCAGAATTTCGCCATGTTTTAGCAAAGTTTCCAATCTTATGGATATCAGAAGCTGCACTTGCAGATGCATATAAAAGAGAAAAGAAGCACCTATCAATGGCACGTAGCAATATATACCAGACAGCTGGTGGTATCTGAGGAACACCCGTTACCGTGTTTGGTGTGAGATCCGCATTTCGTATATCACAAAAAATGTCCTGCAAATTAAAACAGTAGAACAACATTTACACAACATACACTTATATGAACTATTATTTCTACCTTTTAATCTCACAACGTTCTTTTGCATTTATCACTTACTCTGCTTCAAAAATAAAGGCTTCAGCAGGACTTTTTTTTCTCTGAAGAGGGGAAAGGCGAATGTTTTTCCTTAGACAAGAACCCTTCCTCCCCATTCCCTTTCTTGAAGTCATAGAGGGCTATTAAAGCATGAATTTAGTAGCTTTTATTCCTACCATCCTTAAAAAAAAAGGATTTTTTTATCTGACGGAAAAGCACACAGCGAAGGGGAAGGGAGAGCGTATGAGAATCCGCTCTGTTGTTCCTTTTCAGATTGCCCATCAACTTTATGGTTCATGGAGGTAAATGAATTATCAGTGATTTGTTACCTCCAGGGATGATTCTGATTCCTGAACAATGCTGGTTCCGTGCTGTATACGCATCATGGCAGCATCTTTGCAGAACTGTTGACAATCGCTATACTTGATCAAATCATGTGGCAAATCCATGTATGCAAGGAGTGCGCGTGCATGAAACAGTACCTAAACAAGGTAAAAGATAATTTATGTTGCAAAAAATTCAAAAATGTTAAGGTTACTTATTTTATTTACTGCGCCGAAGTTAATAAAAAGCATAATAATGAATTCACAGCTGCTCAAACTTATAAAATACTACGGACACCACAGCTTCCCGCACAGCTAGTGGGGGGATACCGTGTAAGCGGTGTTACTGCGATGTTTTCACAAGCCGGATACAACTAGACCTTGTTATCTAGGGCTTGGATTGGCCGCTGTTTCAAAACTTCAGGTTTGGCCATTCAAACGCCCAAAAAATCTTTTTCAACTTCATCCGGTGCGGCCTCTTCTGGACTGCCCATTTTCCTTTACATTAGTTTAACATCTCCAGATTTTTACGACTTCATAGGAGGTTTTTGACCCACATATTTTACACTGT